CAATGAAAGGAAAGGAGCGACACACAGCAGCAATTCACTGGAGAATTCCGCTTTATTAGGGAAAGGTGCTGGGTTATATAGGAAGGGGCATGGGGTGATTGTGGTGTTACTTCTATGGGGCTGGTGGCTATTGGCTAGGTGCTGGGATTGGGAGGGGGGCGAGAGGTGATTGGGCTTCAGGTGGCACCAGCAGGAACCGAGGACTCCGAAGAGAAGCCGGAAGTTTGCCATCTTACTGGTGGGGGCCCTTCATTTCCACTTCTTAATTATTATGAATAATGCTGCTACGAACATTCTGCAAGTTTTGTGTGGATGCACATTGCATCTCTATTGGGTATATACCTAGGAGAAGAGTGGCTGGTTCAATGGTAACTCTTTAACTCTTCCAGGCGTGCTGGAAGACTGGCTGGGCAGCGGAAGCGGGCTCTAAGCCTTTAGGGCAGGGGTTGCGCGTGCGTGCCCGGAAGAGTGCACCAGTTTGGGCGTGGCTGAGTCAAGCTTCTGTGTTGCCACAAGAGAGTCTGCGAGAAGGCATCTGCGAGAAGGCATCTGCAAGAAAGCATCTGTGAGAAGGCATCTGCGAGAAGGCACAGGAGCCTTAGCCATGCCGTGGTAGGGTCGCTGTTGGGAGACCCTGGAGGTGCTGCGCAGTTCAGACAAAGGTCGCCTCTGCTACGACTGTGACTTGCTGCTGTGGAGCGACGTGAGCGGTGGCGCTGGAGGGGGCGGTGGCCCTTCCGATCCCTCGCCACGGACCCCTGCTGTTACAGAGCCCTGGGCGTGTCCTGCCTGGGACCCCGTGCGTTCTTTCTAACCTGCATTTGTTTCTTGACTCCTGTGTGTGCCTCGCCCTTTCTACGGTTTCTGCCCTCTCCTGCCTATTCGAGCCCTTCCGGGGAGCTCTCCGTACTTTAGAGGTGCTTTTTTCTCTGAAGGCTTCATTACTGCCCACAGCCAGACCAATTCTAGCTCACAGGGTCAGTTAATTTGCTGTGCATCTCTTGTACTGGGCGATCCACATTTTTAGCAGCGAACGGTAAACTTGACCTAACTTACTGCTGCCAGTGAAAAGACCAGATTTTCAGAAGACATTAGGCAGACCGGAATTGTTTAATGGTGGCATGGTCACAGTTCCTAGGATTTGCAAAGCTCTGTATTAGTATTAGACCGTGGGGGTGAGGGTGATGTAGAGACAATTAAGGCATAATTCTTGTTCTGGAGTTGCTAATGATTTAGCTACAGATAGGAAGCATTTGCCTGTCTTTTATGTCTTTGACAGTTTTAAAGAGTAGATACCTTACATTCTATAGGATAAATCCCAGTATGGATTTATTTGGTATAGACTGCGGATATTCATTCATGGCAGGAATACCACAGATAATGATGCTGCATTCTAGTAAGTCACACCAGGAATCACAGATGCTTCAATCCATCCCCAGTACTGGAGATGCTAACCTTGATCACCAGGTTGCATTAGTATCTGTCAGATATAACCACCTAATTCATCAGTTTTTCTCTTTGTAACTAATTAGTATTTTGTGGGGAGTTATTCCAAGATTACACTAGTATTGTTTCCCCCATGAAACTTCCACCTTTAGCATTCATTAATGGTTTCTGCCTAAATCAGGAGCCTCTCTGCTGTAGCCTAATAGTGTTTCTTTCTATTCATCATTCCTTCTACACTTGTTAGCTGGCAGTCTACCTTGATGAAGAGTTTTAATTCTATCAGCATGGACTCCCGGGTTGCTGTTTTATTAATGAGTATAATCCATTACTTGTGACCTTGTGCGTGTGCATTTTCAATTTTGTGGCAAGTGTGTCTTACAGATACTCTGAATTGAGATTTCTAGGTCAGAAGGGAAACAGATTTAGTTCTGTTATATATTGCCATGTTCACACACTTCTCCCCCCAATAATGGATGTATCAGTTTGCTTTCCAGTCAGCAATACATGATCTTGCCTGTTGGCCCATTGCCTTGCCAACAGAATGTGTTACTCTGATTTTTATTTATGCCTAGCTAATGGGTAAAAGTGAGATCTCAGGAGAGTTTTGCAGTGCATTTCTCTTTTGATAAGATTGGATATTTTTTCATATTTTCAAGAGCCAGTTTTAGTTGTGAATTGCTGGTATTGTGTCTTTTGCTCACTTTTCTTTTTAGGTTTTGGTATATTGAAGTTTACACATTCTTTATGTGCTAGGAATAATAATAGCCCTTATCTGTATATACATTGCTTTTTTCCCCCCCTAGTCTGTTAGTTTTTTCTGGTTATGGCGTTTTTGCTTTTTACATCTGAAACTTCAGCCCTGGGATTTATTTTGGTGTAAGGAATGAGAAAAAAAAAAATGTTGTCTCAACATTACTTGGACAGTGTCTTTAAAATGAGCTTCATTATTGTTTAAAATGGGCATACAGCCTGTTTGCTTCTCTGTTCTGATTATTTTCCTTGGGTTTATTGTCCATGGGTTGTGTACCTCTGGTGCAGGTCACATCTCCAGTGCAGCATTATTGACCTTGTGGGCTGGGTTGGGTAAGTCTTCGTTGTCAGGGGTGCTTTATACGGTGTTTACCGGCATCCCTGTCCTCTTCCACTAGCTGCCGGTGGCACCCTCCCACTTGTGACAACCAAAAATGTTCCCAGGCATTGCTGTATGTCCCCTGGGGGTAAGACTGACTGTACTTGAGGACCGGTGATCTAGGCAAAATAATTGTTTGCAGTTTTTGAGTAGTTATGTGTCAGGTACTGTTCTAGGTCCTTTATGTCTATTGCTAACTTAATCCTCCCCAAATCCATTGAGGTGGAGCCTTTTTACTATGCCATTTAAGGAGTGATGAAGTTCAGGCACAGAGGGGTTAGATAACTTGCTTGCTGTCATGCAGCTAAATGGAATGCAGATATGGAATTCAGACCAAGACAGTTTGATTCCAAACTCAGTACTCTGGATCACTGTTACAATGTTTCTCCATATTCCTGGTAATAATTTCCTGACCTTGAGTACAGTTTTCAGCCAAAATGTGCGGCGTGCTTTAACTGTAGTTAAATGGTGTAAGTTTCTCTGGTTTAAAGTGCTGTAGACCAGACATCTTAGAGACAATAGTTATAAATCCCACTTTATTTAAGCCATTGCTTTTTATGTAAGGAACTACTTTTTTATTGGAAATATAGTTGATATGCAATATTATGTTGATTTCAGATGTACAGCATAGTGACTCAGTAATTACAAACATTACTAAGTGCTCATTAGGTAAGTATAGTCCCCCCCATCATGACTATACCAAGATATTACTCTATTACTGGCTATATTCTCTATGTTGCACTCCCATTCCTATGACTAATTTATTTTATAGTTTGAGGTTTGTACTTTTCTATCCCCTTCACCTATTTCATCTATCCCCCCAACCCCTCCCCTGTGGTAACCAACAGTCTGTTGTATTTATAGGTGTATTTCTTTCTGTTTGTTTTGTTTTTTGGATTCTACATTTAAGTGAAATCATGTGGCATTCGTCTTTCTCTGACTTATTTTGCTTAGCATGATACCCTTTAGGTCTATCCACATTCTCTCAAATGTCAGAATGTCCTACTTTTGTATGGCTGAAAAATATTGTGTATATGTATAACATCATCTTTATCCATTCATTTCTTGGTAGATAATTTTGTTGCTTCTGTATCTTGCCTACTGTAAATATTGTGCAGTAAACATAGCTGTAATATATCTTTTCGAATTAGTGATCTTGTTTTCTTTGGGTTAATTCCCAGAAGTGGAGTTGCTGAGTCATATGGTATTCCTGTTTTTAGTTTTTTGAGGAACTTTGATACTGTTTTCCACAGTGGCTGCACCATTTACATTCCCAGCAACAGTGTAGGAGGGTTCCCTTTTCTCTGCATCCTCGCCAGCACTATCATTCATGTCTTTTAGGCAGTGGCCATTCTGACTGGCATGAGTTGGTACCTCATTGTGACTTTGATCTGCGTCCCCACTGATGAGTGATGTTGACCGTCCTTTCGTGCATCTGTTCACCATCTGTATGTCTTCTTTGCAAAAATGTCTATTCAGGTCCTCTGCCAATTTTTGAATTGGGTTTTTTGGGTTTTTTTGGTGTTGAGTTGTATGAGTTCTTCAGATATTCAGGGTATTAGTCCCTTCCTGGCTATATCACTCACACATATATTCTCCCATACAGTAGGTTGCCTTTTTATTTTGTTGGTTTCCTTTGCTGGGCAGTTTTCAGTTTGATGTAGTCCCACTTGTTTATTTTTACTTTTATTTTTCTTGTCTGAGGAGATGTATTCAGAAAAAAAATTACTTGTGCTGATGTTCACAAGATTCTTGCTGGTGTTTTCTTCTAAGAGTTTTATCATGTCATTTCTTATGTATAGGTCTTTAATCCATTGCTAGTTTACTTTTGTGTATGACATAAGACAGTGATCTTGCATGTAGCTGTCCAGTTTTCCCAACACCATTTATTGAAAAGACTGTCCTGTCCCCATTTTATATTCTTGCCCCCTTTGTCATGTATTAATTGACCACATATGTGTGGGTTTATTTCTGGTCACTAATTCTGTTCCATTGATCTATATATCTATTCTTGTGCCATTACCATACAGTTTTAATCATTGTTGTAACCACTTTTTATGCCTTTTTTTTAATAAGCCTATTTTCATTTAAAGAATTACATGTTCATATCAAAATTAAAAACAAAATTTAAGGAGAAATATGTCACTCATCACTCAAGCATAACTTTATTTCCTTTATTTATTCTTTTTAGTGTAGTAGTATTTTTTATTTCTGGTAATTGTAGCCATATTGATTTATCCCCTTGGTTTTTTCGCTTAGAATTGAATCTTGGGAAGAGCGAAATGGAGGAAAGTGGTCAAATGATACAAACTTCCAGTTATAAAATAAATAAGGAATGGTTATATAATGTACAACATGATGAATATAGCCTAACACTGTGTGCAATATAAAGAAAGTTAAGAGAGTAAATCCTAAGGGTTCTCCTCACAAGGAGAAGTTCTTTTTTCCTTTTTTATTCTTTTTATTTTATCTATTTATGAGAAGAGAGTTGTTAGGTGAACTTACTCTGATAGTCACTTCACAATATATGCAAATCAAGCCATCATGCTGTACACCTTCTACAGTGATGTATGTGAATTGTTTTTCAATCAAACTGGGAAAAAAATTTAACATTAAGTGTATTACATAGGATTCACAGTATTTTTAAGTGACTGATATTCCACTGATCACGTATATGGTAGTTCACTTCAAAATTCCTCTTGTGTTCATTTCTGTTCCAGCATTTCAGGTTGCTTTCAAATAGGCTTTAATGACCTTCTTTGTACATTGCTCCTTTTTCCGTAGTTAGGGTTATTTAGTCTCATACACTAAAAGTAGTCAGGGTCATTATCAAGAAACTACTGTGCTTTCTCTTCAGCTCTGATTGTTAATACAATTACTTTGCATCTTTGGTATGTATTGGGCATTCTTAGATTCTCAGTAAGGCTTGTAGTGGATTCTAAGGATAAAATTCTCTTTGATTGCTAAAATCAGATGACATGCAAGTTGGGCTTCACCCTCTTCTTCACTCTAGGATATTTTAGAAGAAAGTATGCCTCCTCCCAAACTATCTTCTTACTGTGGATGGGTGATAGATCATGTCTTAGCCCATCAGCAAGAGAGCCCACTTCCCTGGAAAACTTCAACATACTCTAGATCTACTTCAGACCTAGACCAGACTTCATTTGTTCCCACATCTCTTGTCACAAGCTCTGCCTTCCCACTGGCCTCCTCAGCACCAAAAGGAACCAAGGGAAGGGTTTTAATGAGCTTAAGACAAAAGACAATGGTGGCTGTCTAAAGCTGAAGTGTTTAATATATCCTACAACACTTGAACTTATCCGGAGAAAAATAATGACTGCTGCTTCTTGTAGCTGTTTGTAGGGACAATGTTTACTACATCACCCAGTGTGCTTTTTACGGAGACTCAGAGAGAGAAATTCCCCTCTGTTCTTAACACCAAGAATACTAATTAATTTTATGAGCAGTTGGATTGTTTTTTCTCATGAGCATTGCATCTGTTTAACTCATAAGGTCTCCCTTTTTGTGTTGGCTGCTGGAAGACTAAGTGTAAAATTTATACCAGCTCTTGAATTTATTTAGCATTTGCTCTGCATGAATTTTTACCCTCTTTCGGCTCTTTTGTCCCCAACTTTGTTTCTCCTACTTAAAAAGAGTTAAATTGTTATTGGTGGTGTCCTTCCTATCTGCTGCTGGACAGAATTGCTGAGATCCTCTCCAGGTATAAACTTCAGTCATTCTTGAGGTGAAATGAAGTTTTGGAGGGCTTTCTATAATGGATTATTGTATCATTTAGGAGTGGTGTTTAAGAAACAGAAAACCAATTTAAACCAGCTTGAGCAAAACAAGGGAGAGAGAAAGGAATTAATTAAATAATTTATTATTAATTAATTTCTAAGTAGACAGTCTAGGGGTGCATTTAGAATCAGTTAGGTGATCTATTTTCTGCTTATCTCTGGTTTACATCATTTCTGGCAAGATCCAGTGACCCAGACACAGGCCTTTGCCTCTCCGTCTCTTGATTCTGCCTCACTCTTCCTGGTTTATTTTTCATGTATACTCCATATGGCAAGATGGCTGTTGGTAGCTCTCGACACACATCTTCCTAGGTTAACATCCCCAGATGAAGGGAAAGCCCTCTCGGAAGCTCCATCAGAAAAAGAGAGGTGGACTCTGCCCCAGCTTGGGTCATACACCTCATTCCTGAAGCAGATACAGGGTGACAGAGTCCTTTGATCGTAGGCTGGTTGTATGATTACCCCTGAGGCTAAGAGTGCAGAAGAATTGGGGATGTGGGTTGGGGTTGCTCCATCCACATGACCTGGGCACAACTGGATACTTAACAGAAGAAGGGGGAAAAGTTTTCTGGGAAGAGCAAAACAAATAGTTAAGAGAGAAGAAAAATCTTCCCGAATCAACAAACATCCAGTTTTTAAGGAAAACAATTCGAACAGGGTCAGTATCACATAAAGCACACTGGTCTGTCCTAAGTTGTTTCGTTGTTGCTTTTATTAGTTGTTGTTCATAAGTAAGGATGTGGTGTTTGTATAGAGAGGATAATACCAACTCTATCATCCTAAAAGCTTGATTTCGTCATCTTCTGTCTGTACAGAGCAAACGTGAGTCCCAGCATGCAGGATATATGGCATGTCCATCCCCCCGGGTGGTCACAGTGGAAGGCTGCCTCCGGCTGTATGAGGTAGTGTGCAGACAGGAAGCATGGGTAAGTGACCTCTGAAGTAAGGCCAGATGGGCCACCTAGGGAGCCGCATGTAAATACATTTCCTCGGGGACTATGAATGCCCACCTTGTGCTACTCATCATGCCCCCACTAGCCTGCTCAGGGTGAAATAGAGGGCATGGGAGGATGTCAGAAGATTTGCAGATCTCTGTAAATCATTACAGTACAAGTGCCTGGTATCCGCCAATTTTAGACTAATGATATGGGGAAGGGGGCAGGAGTTGACTGTCCACAAACATTCCAGCCGATGTCTCTACTTTCAGCCCCATGAGCCCCACCTGATTTCAGGCCTGCCATCTCCCAGTCCTCAGCCTCTTGGAGGTTCTGCTGGTAGGCAGGCCTCTACCTGAGAGGAGTAGTCTGAGTGTGTATGTCCTCGGGCTTTCTCCGCTCTGCCCTGTCAGTCCGTACTCCTCCATGGACTCCTCCCTTGTAGAGGATGTTGACAGTTTTTCCCTCCTGACGATCTCCCTCGTGTGCTCTCTGATGTTGTCTTTTTTTCTTCTTATTCTTCTCAACTCTTATTTAAACAGAGGCTCTGAGGAGAAGATATATATGCTTTGTTTAATTTGCCTTCTTGCACTGGAAGCTTTAAAAAAAGTTTTAAAATAGAGTAACATAATGTATTTTGACATATCTCCATGACAGTGTATGTGGTATCTCATCCTCTTGAAAGGCTGCAGAGTATTCTCCATTATGACACACTGTAATAAATTTAACCAATCCCCATTTAATTTGTTTAAAATTTATTGCCATTATCAACAGGGCTGCAGTGAATGATATTGCTCATAAATCTTTGCACACGTATGCAACTATTTCCTTTGGATAAATGCCTAAAGGGGAGCTAGAGTCAAAGTATATGTATATGCTTCAGATTTTGACAGTTAAGATGTCATATCACCCTTAAAAACCATATGGGGACCCTCATGAATAATAATAGAAATACATGGTCCTCTCAGATATAAAGGAAAGGGACTTAGCTAAGTGGAGGTTGGCAAAAAACCTAGGGAAAATAATAGGACAAGGAAAGAAGTGAGATAGGAATGTGCATAATGTGTTGGTGGAGTCAGAGCAATGATTTCTTTAGAATACCCTGAAACCGTCGTAAGATCACAGAGGATGGAGGCTTCAACACTCGGGGCTATTTGGTACTGTGTTGGTGAATTCCCACCCATTTCCAGCTTATACTGGAGTGACATAAAGGGGATAGGGCAAATTGGAGGAGTTCACCAAACAGCTGAAGTATCAGCCCAAAGGGGCGAACTGACTTGAGCAAAGTTTCCGAGAAAGCAGCAGATGATTCCATGCCCTGGAGTAGCCTTGGCGTTGTTGCTCTGATGGGAGGGCATTCCAGGGGGTGAGGGAGCAGTAAAGGTGCTCCAGAGAGCGGTGCTGCTTCTCTCCAGGAGAGACTGAGGCGCGGGCAGGAGTTGATAGAGAAGATGATGCAAGCCTTTGCTGACATGGCCTCTGAACAACTGAAGCCGTATGATGAGCGGAAGGAGCTGGAGCGCCGTAAAGAACTGCAGGGCCTACGGGAAATGATGGAGAAGAGGTGGGTTGCCCTGGAGGGGTATGACCAGGAATGTCAGTGTGCTCAACTGGAACTCTTTCCCAGCCCAAAACCCAAAGGGAAAAAGAGTCCAACTTATTTTGAATCCTTAAAGATTCAAAATAACAGAGAAGCTTTTAATGTAGAAACTGAGCAACCTTGGGAAGAGGACCAACATCTGACCGAGAGGGAGGCTGTTAGGAGAGGTCAAACGACCACAGGAAGCATCCCCAGCTCTTCTTCCTTCCATTTTCCCCTCACCTCTAGAGAAGCCCTGGCCCGGCACGAGAAGCTCAAAGCCGAGCATCGTCGCAGAGCAGAGGTCAGAGCCTGGGCAGTCCGTGTGGGTGGTTCAGCGTCTGGCTGTACACTGCCTGCGGAGTCATGTTCTGGCAGTCATGGAGGACCTGGCCCATAGGCCTCTGTATGCCTGGCCTTGGGCTGTCCTCTTCCTGCTATGGGGCCACACAGGACTTGAAGAATGTAGAGAGAGAAGGCCCAGGAGCCCCTCGAGGAGAGGTAACCTGACAACCCTTTCTACAGATTCAAAATAAGAAGCTGCGGGAGGCAGAGCAACAGCACCTGCAGCGAGTGGAACAGGAGCGGCTGCGGAAGGAAGAAGGCCGGATCCGCCTGCGGAGACTCTACGCCCTGCAGGAGGAGATGCTGCACCTCATCCAGCAGCTGGACGCCTCGGAGCAGCAGCACAGGGGCCTGAAGGCTGACCTTTCTGCCTTCCACACCCGAGGCAACCGGCTGTGTGGCGTCATCTCGGGCATCATCTGGGCCAATTGTGAGGTGAGGGGGCTTCAGAGGGACTCTGTCTTCTGTCTTTGACATGGAGAACCTTAAAAACAAAATTGTTCTATGATTCAAAACTAGTGCCTGCTTATTGTAGAAAATGGCAAACATCACTTGTCATCTCCTAAGCTAGAGTTAGCCACTGTTACATTTTCTGTTTCTTCCCTGCCAGTGTGTGTGAGATTCCCCACCCCAAACTGGACTCATCTAGGTAGAGTTTCATATTGTAACTTAAAAAGTACATGTTTCTTCTGATTGCAAAATACTTTAATTCATTCGGTAATATTTACCTGTCGTGCTTATGGTAAAAATGGAAACTTTACAGAAATGCATATGGTTTTTCTTTGAGCACGTAACTACTGTAATCGTTAAGAGTATTTTGATGTTTTTAAGGTGCTGTTAAGAAATGCAGGTATTGCCTTGACACATAGTAGATATGAAATAAATATTTGATAAACAGATGAAATTGGAAACTTCCAACATATGCCATACTAAAATTTATTGAAAAAAATACTGCCTGTTGAACAGTTAAGTTTCTTTATTCTCACTACCATGTATAACACAGCAGCTTATATGTCTTATCCATATTTCTGATTATTTGAGATAAATTCCTAGAAGTGAATTAGTGAAGGAATTTTAAGGTTCTTGATTCACATCCAAAAGTTATACCAATTCACACTTGTTGTATAAATTGTATGTTCTCACCCTTAGTTCATATGTCTACCAGAGTTCACGATTTAAAAAACCAACTTATATGACCTATAAATTATTAAGAACTTTAAGCACTTATCATATCTGAGGAAGAAATTTATTTTTATAGCCTGTTGTTCCCTTTGAATTCTCTCCATGGCTTTTGCTTACTTTTCTTTTTGTAAAATCTCAAACCTGTACAGAAGTAGGACAGCCCAGAGGGCCTCATGCACCCATTCCCCAGCTTCAGCAAGACTCAACACAGGGCAGTCTTGTTTCATCTATTCTTCCACCCGTGCCCCTCCCCGAGATGGCAAACACAGAAACATGTCGGTTTATCTGGGAAATACTTTGGTATGTACCTCTAAAAGGGGTTTGTACCTCTAAAAGTATGGCCCTCGTATGTACCTCTAAAAGATAAAACTCTGTTAACGTAACCAAATACTAATCTTACATCTATAAAACTAAAAAGTTTCCTTAATATGACCAGATATCAAGGCATTGTTCAAATTTCTGTAATTGTTTCAAAATGTTTTAAGAATTGGTTAGAAAATTAACATCCACACAGCGTTCAGCCTTTTGGTTTGCTTTATATATGTCTTCTTCTTCCCAGATAAAAGATAGCTTACTGGATGTGCTATTCTAGACTTTGCTTTTTTTTTTTCGATTTAGGGGTTGTTTGAGGGGTGTGGCCCAGTGCTTCCAGGCTGCCACCCCCTGCCCCTATTTTTTTTATTTAAGTGTCATTGATATACAATCTTATGAAGGTATCACATGAATAACACTGTAGTTTCAACATTCAACCATATTATCAAGTCCTCACGCCACAACCCCCCCCTTTGCAGTCACTGTCTATCAGTGTAGTAAGACTCTATAAAGTCATTACTTATCTTCGCTGTGCTGTACTTCCTTCCCTGAGACCTACCTATATTGTGATAATGGATTATAGTGTCCCTTAATACCCTTATCCCTCCCCATCCACCCTCCCCAACCCCTCCCCTTTGGTAACCACTAGTGCTTTCTTGGAGTCTGTGAGTCTGCTACTGTTTTGTTCCTTCAGTTTTGCTTTGTTCTTAATACTCCACAAATGAGTGAAGTCATTTGGTACTTGTCTTTCTCCGTCTGGCTTATTTCACTGAGAATAATACCCTCTAGTTCAACCCATGTTGTTGCGAATGCTAGGATTTGTTTTCTTCTTATTGATGAATAATATCCCATTGTGTATATATACCACATCTTCTTTATCCATTCATCTATTGATGGACACACAGGTTGCTTCCATACCTATTGTAAATAGTGCTATAATAAACATAGGGGTGTATATGTCTTTTTGAATCTGGGATCTTGTTTTCTTTGGGTAAATTCCTAGGAGTGGAATCTCTGGATCAAATGTTATTTGTATTTTTAGTTTTTTGAGGAACCTCAATAATTGCTTCCCATAGTTGTTGAACTAATATACATTCTCCCTAACAGTGTAGGAGGGTTAACCTTTCTCTGCATCCTTGCCAGCATTTATTGTTTCTTGTCTTTTGGATGTTGGCCATCTTAACTGGTGTGAGGTGATATCTCATTGCAGTTTTAATTTGCATTTCCCTGATGAGTAGCGATGTGGAGCATCTTTTCATGTGCCTGTTGGCCATCTGAATTTCTTCTTTCGAGAACTGTGTGTGCATATCCTCTGCCCATTTTTTAATCAGGTTGTTTTTTGGGTGTTGAGGCATGTGAGTTCTTTCTATATTTTAGATGTTAACCCTTCTTCAGATATGTCACTTATGAATATATTCTCCCATACTGTAGAAAGCATTCTTGTTCTAGTGATGGTGTCCTTTGCTGTATAGAAGCTTTTTAGTGTGATATAGTCCTACTTGTTCATTATTTATTTAGTTTCCCTTGCCTGAGGAGATGTATTCAGAAGACTCTGCTTTTTTACACATAATTTATCCTGGAGATAACTGCTTAGCAACACGTAGAGTTTCCCTCATTTCTTTACATAACTGCATAGAACTCTATTGTGAGGATGTATGTAGTACAACCATAGTTTATATGCCATTTTTGATGTAAAGAAATTCTGGGGTTTTTTCCTCATTTAATCCATCTGCAATTTGTTTGATGATTGGTGGGAGATAAAGATCTTAATTTAAAAATATTCATACTGTTTTATCACCACTTTTCCATCCTGATTTGTAAATCTCTTCTACCAAACTAAATACTACCCTGGGAGCTCTTTTGCAATAATCTTTTCTGTTTTCCTGATATGGGTTTTTATTCTTATACCAGAATCATCCTCTTTTAGATATAGCTGTGTAATATATTTTAGTATCAAAAAGGGAAAACCAAACATGAATTTCCTGTAGAATTTTCTTATTCTACTACCTTGGACAAGTTGGTTTAAAATGAGAGGTGTCATTGATTTACTGGACAAAACCATGAAATGTGTTTATAGGACAGAACATAGAAAATAATGTAGAATGTCTCAATTCATTTTATAATCCTGATAGCCAAATTCTAACGCAATAGCACACACACAAAAATGTGCATTCATTCTGATTTATGCAATCTCATTTATGAGCAGAAGTTCTAAATAAAAGATAAGTAAATAAAATTTTTCAGAGGCACAAAAGAATAATGCATTATAACCACAGGTGTTAGGCAAAGAATAACGTGAAGCTGGTTCAGTTGTTATGAAATCTGTTCGTGAAATTCATTTCATTAATAGGTTATGAAGCAAATCATGTTTATCTCATCTGATATTATGAATGTGTATGTTAAAATTTGATGTCCTTTCCTAATTAAAAAAACTTAGATGGTAAGCAGAATAAAAACATGTTTCTTGTTAACATGATCAAGAATATGTATCCATCTATGACTACATTCCAGATAACACTGTTAAAAGTGGGAGACAAGTAATATAGCACATTATTACCTTTCTTCAATGTTGTTTTTAAAGTTTTAGCCAATACAAAATAATTATAACAAAATATAAATATTTAAATGAAGAAATGTGATTTGGTGACAGCATGTCTACGTCAAAAGCTAAGAGTAAGAAAACTGGAAACTATGAGGTTTTTTTAATGAGATTTTAGTAATGTGGCCAAGTTAAAAATACTCTGTCAAAAAAAAAGTTAAAAAATAGTGATGAAATACAAAATACCTGGAAATAAACTAGCATGAAATAGACGCAATTTACATGGAGAAAAGTATGGAACTTAGTTGAATTTATAAAATGAGGCTTGAATGAACAGAAGAATTTACCATGTTCCTGAGGCCTCCTTAAAGTAAGTTACCAAATTTGCCCAAATCAATAAATCTAGTGAAATTCTAATAAAAAATATGTAGACTGTTTCAAAAAGAAATCTACTGATGGGGAACTTGCAATCAAATAAAAAAACATTTTCTAACACCATAGTTAAAGCAGTTTCTTCTTGCCTGTGTACAGACAGCAAGATTAGTGGAACAGAATAGCAAGCCCCAGAAAGACACACATTTTTATAGGTAATTAATATATTACAAAGGTATCATTTCAAATCAGAGGGAAAAGAGTGATTATTTAGAACCATAAAAGCAAATATTAAATTTGTACCATTCTTTTATCTTACTCCATATTTCTGGCGTGTTTAAATGTAATATTGTAGAGAAACAAGAAGAAAAAATTATGTTCAGTGGGAAAAAATTCAGGTGAATATTTGAATTAAGGCATGGAAACCCTGTGTAAGCATAGCAATAAAAGCCAATGTAAATGGAAAGGGTCAATAACTGTAAGCACATAAACATTAAAGACACAGTTTATACGTTAGGAAATGTATTTGTGGCATATACAGCAGAGGTATATTCAACGTCTGTGATACAAAGAGTTCTTGTGATTTATGGGGAAAAAAAGATAAGTACATCACGCTCTTTCTACCTACGTCCATCCCACTAATGGAAAAACGAGCAAAGGACAGAACAAGCAGCTTATAAGAGCAGAAATATAATTACCTAGTAAATGTTAAAGTAAGTTCAAAATCACCATTAGCATATGGAATACACAGTATCACTTTTATCTGGAGTGTTGTCTGAAGCTTTTGAAGAACTATTCCAACTATTATTGGTGACAGCATAGAAAAATCTATCTTCAGATACTGTGGATATGATGGTAAATCAGTGTTACCTATAAGACAACAGACGACAGTAGGTCTGAACGCATTGAATGCGGGTACTCCATTGGCACAAAAATCCCAATTCTGGAAGCTTATTGATTTGCGTGAGGTATGATTCCATTCNAGGGCTCTGCAGGAAATGCGGGACCTCCTTAGGAACATGGAGCAGGAGATCACCACGGCCTGTGAGGACAAGAGGAGGCAGGAGGCGGAGGAAGCCCGGGTAAAGCAGCAGGAGTCCCAGGGGAAGCGGGGGCCTGAGGTCCACACAGAGTCCCTGGCTCCCAGCCAAGGCCTAGGAAGGAAACAGAATGAAGGTGAGTTTTGGTGTGGCAAGAACCCTTTAACTCTGAGTGTGGAAAGAAAAACGAATGTGCTTTACATATTGTGTTAGGCCACAGGACGGTTTCCAAGAACTTTTACATAATGTGCTTTTACTGAATTGCAGTCAGTTTGGTTGCTGTGGAGCCTGACCTCAGATTGCAGCCATGAGGATTGAAATTGTGTGTAATCCTAGTAGATGTATTATTCCAAGCATTTCTGCCACTGAGTATTTTAGACAAACGTGTGTGAACAAGATATGTGTTCATTTACTACATCAGGGAATAAGTATAGCATACCAGTTGAGAATAATGCTGGTTTTGGAGCCAGATTGGTGGCAATGTAGTTTTTCTGCTTCCTAACAGTGTGACTTTGGAAATTACTTAACCTTTCCATGCTATTGCCTAATCTATAAAATGAAGATAATTACAGTGTCTCCTTCACAGGATTATTATGATGCTGAAAGCAGTTCATAGCATATGTAAGGAGATGAGAAAAGTGCCTGGCTCATCAGCAAATGCTGGCTATTAAGAAAGCCTCTCTGTTACCCCTCAGAACTCCAGTTCAAGGCACAAGACAGCACAATGCAGTGGTACCAGCAGCTACAGGACGTTACCAGTCAGTGTGTGTTGGCCTTTGAGGGACTGACCAGCAGCAAAGACAGTCAGGTAGGCAGCAGTGTAAATCAGGAGTTCTCTGGGCCTTCTCGTGCTGTGTCCCCCAGGAAGGTCTCTAGCCCCTCATGTTCCCTGACCCTAACGGCCTCTACTCAGCTCTTCAAAACTCTCTGCCTTCTCACTGTTTTCTTCGGGCAGGTCAGAAAGATGAAGATGGACCTCCAGAAGGCTGCCACCATCCCAGTGAGCCAAATCTCCACCTTATCAGGTTAGTCAGAGGGGTTAAGAGCATGGCCCTTCACTTCATTTTATTGCTTTTTAAGATTCTAAATCTATTTACATGTAAGGTTTCTATAAACAGAGTATGTTCAAACAAGCGTCCACAGTTGAATCAGGTACGTGTCAGTTCTGTGCGTCCTGTTTTACTCCACTTTATTTCCTCTTCAGCACACAGAAGGTAATTGTTATGTGTTTGTTGACTTGTGTTTTAAAAATAAGCTGTGTAATAGTAGTAAATTATTTAGCAAGGCTCTTAGCTGGAGTTGAAAGTTACTGCTGAAAACATTTCTAAGGGAACCTAGGATGTGACCTATTCTTTGCTTTTGTCCTGTTTCATCGTCTTTCCAAACTTGAAGCCTGCCTAAATACTTTAAAACAAGTCTGTTTCTGCCCAGAGACTGAGATTTAGAGTAAAAACCAGACAGAAAAGACCCTTCTTCCTCTTCTATAGAAACAGGTTCCAGTTCACAGAAGCCTCCGGATTACTGCCTGTGGCCAAGTGGCCAGGGCGTGTGTACAGCTGGAAGGCTGCTCTGACTTAGCATGGCTCCCAGGGCCCCTGATTAACTTATTACCTAAAAAGTATAGGAGAGTCTCAGCTTCCGCCCTTGAGAGGCTATGTCACAATGTGGTAGGGAGCCAGGGAGACAACTTTTCTGTTGAGGCTTCAAGAATGTAGAGGAATCACAAGGGGCTTGGGTGCTTGAGATTGAAGCAATGTCACAATGTGTTCATATTGTGGGACTCAGTAGTACGGAACAGCTTGTTGATCATAGTCGTGGAGGCCCATTCGTTTATAATACAGTATCTGGGTAACCTTTACAGACATAGATTAAAATATAACTAGCATCCTGGGTACACCTGGGTGCTGACTCCCCCCCACCAAACCTTCTGGTGAATGTATAGAAGACATGGCCCCACTGCACTTGGGGCTCAGCCTGTGGATAGGAATCCGCTGAGCCAGGGCCGGCACTAATAAATGCTGCTGCTCCCCGAACGTGTCGGCGTCCCAATGCCTTGTTCGTCGATACCTGCCACAACAGAACTCAGTAACACTTTGCTGCCCAAAATTCTCTCTGGAGCAGGCAGGGTATAAATAAGTAAGAACGTATAGCTTTCAGGAATGTGAAGTGCCTTTTCCTGTGGTAGCCACAGGGGAGATGCTGACTAGATGGCCGTTCCTCACCTGTATTGCCCTCCTTAGCTCATCCCCAGGCCCCCTGAGTGACCGCAGTCAACCCTGAGAGCCGGAGGTGCTTGCCCCTCCCACCTGTCCACAGCTGTATTTCCCCCTTAGCATCCTGGTTCAAAGGACAGGTGTCCTTCCTGCCCACGGCTCCTTCTCCCTCCGCTTGTTCCCATCCCTTCCTTCAAGACTTCGCCTCATCATTTCTTGCCCTTCTCTCCTGTTTGCTGCAAATTGTTCCCTTCTGTAGGCTCCTTTCCCTTTAAACATACTTAAATGCCTCACATCCTAAAATGTTCCCTTTGATTCTATATGTAAGTATTTTCTAGTCTTCCTCGTGGGTGTGCTTGGTGCCAGGGATTATTCCCTTCCTTGTGGCCTCTGTTTTGTGGCCCCCTGTGACAGTATTCTCTTCCAGGTTCTCCTCCTACCCCTCTTCCTCCTGTGTGGGCTTCTGCTCTCTCTAACTGTAGGTGTTTCCTAGGAACCCACCTCACCCCTCAGTGCTTCTCATTCTGCACACACCGTGGCTTCCAAGGTGACCTCCAGTGCCGGTGACTCCGCAGTCTGGTTCGTTCCTTTCCACTGAGCTCCAGGTTCCCTGGCTTCAGCTGTCTGAGCAGCGTCTCTGCTGGGTGTGAGTGAGAGGCTCCCGCGTGCCTGGGGTTCAGCGCGTTCCGGTCTGACCTCGTCATCTTCCCACGCCTGCTTTCCTCCTGCTCGTGCTAAGTGACCAGCACTGTTCCCAGCTAGTCACTGAGCTGGAAATCTGCAAGTCCACTTGACTGCCTCCTCTGTTTCACTCACTCTCCCCGTCTGACTAGGCTCTAGTTTTGCTGTTCTTCACTTTTCTGTGTGTCTCCTGACTCTGTCCCTTTGTCTCTGTCACTTCTGTAAGCCCTTGTCCTGCAGCCAGACACAGACGTGTACTAGCGTCAGTGCTCAGTAAACGTCAGGTCACTGAGAGAGCACCCAGTTCCTGTCTCTGTACAGGTGGATGTCCACGAGTCATTAGATTCAAGCAGAATTTAAGTATCTTTGGTGCTGGTGTGGTATATGGGACGTGGGAGTCCGTGGCAGCCATCGGGTGGGGAGCTGGCTTTCCTAACAGGAGAAGCGTGGAGAAAGGGACTGGATGGGGGTTTGGGCCAGACAGCTTCTCTGAAACCCTCAGTAAACTAGTAAGTATGGATGTGAGCTGGGTGCGTTTGTATGGAAATGTATGTATTTTAATAATCTCTGTAAATATTGAGTCTCTATTTCTGTTTTTCTGGGAATTATTAGCCTTGGGGTTTCTGTGATATCTAATTATTTAATTCTTTGTTCCCTCCTCCTTTTTTTACTTCCTAAGAAATGGGGTTGGCTTTTTTTTTTTTTAATGAAATTGAATTGGTGGTTTGGGAAGGATATTTCTGAGATTTTTATAACATTTCTCCAAGTAATTAGGAATTGATCCAGTATTTCTAAACTACCGATGCTGTATTCATTCATGTAAATTTTCATTGCAAATAATGGAAACTAATTTAGAGCTGCTTAATTTAAAAAAAGGCATTTGTTCTGAAGGTAAAGGGGTTTTTCACAGAACGTAATGGCAGGAATGGGGCTATGTGGCTATGTTCTCCCGAAGCAGAAATGTTCGTGCCTTTCTCTCTTCCATCTTGTCTTCACTCTGTATATCTTTGTTCTTATTTTTGGTCCACATGGCAGGTGCTGGGCCCACTGCTCACAGGTGTGTGCTGTAGGCCAGCACTGCAAGGAGTTGACTGTCCATTGGCTGGTTCGGCCTGCCCACTCCTCCTCTAACTGTAGCCAGTGCTGGGGATGGGGCACGCAGGACCTGCAATCTAAACGGCTAATGTAGCCCACTCTTCTGTCTCTGAGGATGAAGGAGAGCAGGTCCTGGGGCAGTGGGGGTGGGGCATCATTATGTGTTGGGGAGACCTTTAGATGTTTTTTTTTTCTGGAGATAATATCTTTGTTTTGGAGATACCAACCACAGCCCTTAGGGTCTGTTACAGTTCACACCTTTTCCATACTGTTTGTCTCTCTGTTTGATGTGTCAATTTCAGAATTAGTTCGTTCCCAAGTGAGGAATTCTTTTGAGATGGTACCATGTTGTATGTACTTCTGCACCTCAGACAACATGCATTTGATTGTCAAATATTTATCGATACCAGTATTTTGACTTCAGGCTCTGAACTTCTATAGCACTTAATAGCTGGAGTTATATAGAGGCCTTGTTATTACAATGATGAGAAACAATGTGCAGTTGTGTCTTCTCACTAAACTATCTCTGTCATATCCAGGCTCAAAGCCGAAGGAGGTCTTTGACAAGATCCACGACCTGCTCTCTGGAAAATCTGTACAGTCTGGTGGGTGCACCATGTCTGTCGCACTTCACCCACAGGGCCTGAACTTTGTCCAGTACAAACTGGCAGAGAAATTTGTGGTGAGAAACCTTATTGCCAGAGGTACGGAAGAAGGGTACACAATGTTTAAGCCTCCCTTGAGTATTAAGATTGCCCCGTCTCTTTGTCCCCAGAAACAAGGAGCTGAGGAAGTGGCCTCGCACCACGAGGCAGCATTTCCCACCGCAGTGGTGGTGTCCAGGATCTAGGGACTCTTCCCCAGAGTGAGGGCCCTCATTCTGGCTCATCTGCACAAGAATTGCCCTTACTCGGTTCCTTTATACCCAGCCTTCAAGGAGGGCATGGCTTTGGAAGACTATCAGAGGTAGAATTGTTTCTCCTCACTGGCTATGAGGGTGATGAGTGAAAGAGAAATAGAATTGGGATTCGTTTCACCCCTGCTTTCAGCTCCTCTTAACGCCCCTTGAAAGAACTATCAGAAAACACAGTGTCTTTCATGCAAACTGGGTGACTTTTGGAATTTGTGGATTTAGGTACAATAATCAAGATAGTTTAATGGAAAGAATACTGGATCTAGAATCCAGGGGCTACCTGCTTTGTCATTTAATAGATTTGCAAAATGGGTAAATCATTTAACCCCTTTGAGCATCATTTTCCTTATTTGTCTATGGGGGCACAATATGTGTTACCTCCTGTGAGTTACCTAAAAGGGCTTAGATGATGCACAGATTCGATCATGGAGATGACTACTTTGTAAATTAAGTATTCTACAAATGTAATATCTAATAATTTAATAATGCTAAACATAATACCAATGTAGTGTTATTTTAGCCATGAAAATAGATTGTCACCCTCACTTCAGCCTTATCACATTGAGATTTTTCTTCCGACATAGGATGCTTGGCTACGTAGTGGAGAATTCCAAGGTGGAACACCCAGCAGATTTCTGAAATGCATGTCCGGGATGATCCGTCTGTATGCTGCCATCATCCAGCTCCGGGGGCCATATGGGAGCGAACAGAAGGTAGCCGACCAGGCCTCCTGGCAGTGATGAGCATCAGCCCTCATTCTCGTGTTCTAGCTGAAGCAGATACTCTATCCATGGAGTCCTCCAGAGAGGGCAGTCTAGTTGCATGTTAAGCTAAAGGATATTCCGGCTTCATGGGTATTCTCTAAAGAAGTTCATGTTAATTATTAGGAAACATTTGTATCATTAGAGCCATTTGTTCAAAGACTAATTCATATAAGACACTAAAGAACTGGGTTTGTAGAAGTGGCTGTCAGACAAGAGTAAGATAAATTAGTCATTAAGGTTAAAGATTTTATTAGAAAAAGTGTGAGCAAGAAAGTGTCATATTAGACCCAGTTGGGCCTTAGAGGTCATCTAGGTCGTGTCCTCACTGACGGACAGATGGAGGCTTAGCAAGCCACAGGGATCCACACTGTCAAGGACAGAGCCACGGCCCTATGCTTTTCCCAGGATACAGATTAGAGATGAAGAAGTTAATGGACTTGCAGACGGGGAGAGAAAGGAATATAAACGAACCGGATCTGAGCAGTTTTTATTGTGTACTTGCTGTGTCCCAGGTTCTGTGCTAAAGGCAGCAAAAGTGATGAGTAATAAGTAAAACATCTATAAGGGTAGCTGTTGGCCTGTGGAACTCCTCGAACTATAGCTGACAGATGTGTATTCAGGGGATCCTGAAAAGAATATGTGAGTTCCAGTGTGCTGGAACATTTAAAATCATGATTCGCTTGAGTTGTGCTTCTGCCCTGAGGCATGTGCTTGTTTTAGGTGATCTGCGGGTTCACATCTAATGGCTGGATTCTAACACTGGGAATTTAGATCACTGAATAAAATGAGATAGAATTATAGGCAAGCTTCTGTTCTCCCAGGCTTATCCTCATATCTTAAATCATGGCTGGCATTGGTTGGCACAGATCTTAAACATGGAGCCACTGTTGGACGTGACAGCCACCCTCCTCTTTGACTTTCTGGAGGTGTGTGATGTGGTTGTCCCAGAAGGGAGACAGTGGTTGCGGCAGCCCTGGGACCCCTGTGTGATGTGAATGGGGTAGCGGTGTGGAAGTAGAGGCGAGTGGTGAGCAGCTCTAGGACCCAGTGTCAGAACTGCTTCTGAGCCCCAACACAAACCAACCTAGCTCTCCACTTCTCCCACTGTTCTTTCCTTCTCTCTGGATGTTTTCTTGTTTTAAACAACAGAAAACTGCATCCTAACGTGAGGGAAAAAGGTGAGTTTATTTTAGGGTGGAGAGTGACACCAAGAACGAAGGGTGGGGCATGCGGTGGAATCTCACAAGGGCCGGGACCAGGAACCGAGTGTCGCCAGATACCAGGAGTCTCTCTGGGGCCACGTGATTGATCATTTGTGCTTCTCCTGCAAATTGCCTCATTCTTGCCATATAAGCCAACTTTCCTCCAGCTCCCTGTGCACAGTGGAGAAGATGGCCATCCAGGCAGTATCCCTCAGCCTCAGCGTGGTCACCCAGACTAGTGGAGCTGGTGTCCCACCACCGTGACCTCTAATTCCCAGGACAGAACATAAAATAAACCAGTGCTCCCACTCCAGGGTGAGGGTCAGGCTTCTGTGGGAAAGAGACACTTCTGAAAGAATAAAGGCTTGGCGTACATACCGTACAACCTGGGGTCATTTGGCCTATAATGTCAATAGTTTCTAGTCACCTTTCAGTTCCTGAAGTTACAAATGTGAGTAGTGATCCTGAATCACTGAGAACACAAGTGGTGTTCTGTATACTGTGCTCAGTGAGGTTGAGAGGTGTGCCACATGGTTCAAAAGACTTCCATTCAAAGAATCGAAGAATATTTAAGTTTGATTCACATTTTCTGGTTTTCTGAAATACCTGGCTACCTGGCAGTCTGGTTAAAGGGAGGTATTGGCATATACAGAGGAATGCTTCTGAAGAAAGTTGAATTTTCCCATCAGTTCCCGTAGTTAACTAGCTAAGTGGCATTGTGACTAAAATTCTTGATATGAATGGAAGGCAGAGGGCTGGTTGTGCTGGAAGGGGTCTCCCACGTGAGTGAATTTTCATTCTCTACTCTGTGCCTGTCTTCCCCTGCAGGTATGTGGGAATGCCCTCGTGAAGCAAAACCAGGTCCAGTTCTGGGAAATGATGCTTTTCATCAAGGAAGACTACTTACCCCGGTATTAGCTCACTGAGCTGACACTCGGGGATTGGTGGGTGAAACTCATGACAGCAGATACCTGTAGGCACTGTTATGTGCTGTTTTTGACTCAGTTAAAAACACCTGTGCAAAGTATGACATCTCGCATCTTTTCTTGATATTTGAACAAACAGTTCTTAAGAGTCTCTCTTACATATTATTAGCTAAAAGAAGAAAACAAATTAGGAAGATCTTAGATTCAGATACCAAACATTTTTAAAACTCTGTCCTTTTCCAAACTCCCCCAGATAATCTAGGATGGTGATTACATGCAGTTATGAATTAAACAGAGTCAAATCCCATCAATCAATAAATCTGTTGGAGAAGCTGATTTATCGACCATCTGGCTTGAATCTAGTGTGGCTTTTCCCCTATTTGTAGCCTTCTTCCCCTTCCCAGCTCATTGGCATTTCAATGGGGAGAAAGACATTGGCAGCCATATCCCACCTGACCACGGACACCTTGGGGAGGAACAGTGCTCTCTTCTCCTTTGTCTGGTTTGAAAAGAAGGTTGAGACCATTTGGAAAAGCAACAGCATTCTTAGTCTTTTAAGACATCTCTGCCCCTTCCTTCAGATCAACAGGGTGCTGAACTTGGCTCCAAAAGACAAGTGTAAATTGTAGGTGTCACTCAATGTCTCTTTTCTCTCCCTGTAGGATCGAAGCCATCACAAGCTCAGAGCAGATGGGTTCCTTCACATGCCTCAAACGGTTTGTGGAGGTAAGACACTCTTAGACCAGCATGTCCCGAACTGTTGCTGTCCTTGAATGGGCCTGGGTCTGACAAGCTTCAGATCTCTAGACTCTGATTGCAATCTTCTCTTGATTTTTCTGAACTCTACATTTTTTCATCTCTTCTCCATCCTTTCTGTAATTACATCTTCAAAGACCCTATTTTTTTTATTTTGTTATGATTAATCTACACTTACATGCAGAACATTATGTTTACTAGGCTCTCCCCTTCACCAAGTCCCCCCAACAATGCCCATTACAGTCACTGTCCATTAGCATAGTAAGATGCTGTAGAACCACTACTTGTCTTCCCTGTGTTGCATAGCCCTCCCCATGCCCCCCCCCACATTATACATGCTAATCGTAATGTCCCCTTCTCTTCTACGCCTTGTCCCTCCCTTCCCACCCATCCTGCCCAGTCCCTTTCCCTTTGGTAAGTGTTAGTACATTCTTGGTTTCTGTGAATCTGCTGCTGTTTTGTTCCTTCAGTTTTTCTTTGTTCTTATACTCCACATATGAGTGAAATCATTTGGTACTTGTCTTTCTTCACCTGGCTTATTTCACTGAGCATAATACCCTCTAGCTCCATCCATGTTGTTGCAAATAGTAGGATTTGTTTTCTTCTTATAGATGAACAATATTCCATTGTGTATATATACCACATCTTTATCCATTCATCTACTAATGGACACTTAGGTTGCTTCCATTTCTTGGCTATTGTAAATAGTGCTGCAATAAACATAGGGGTGCACCTGTCCTTTTCAAACTGGAGTGCTGCATTCTTAGGGTAAATTCCTAAAAGTGGAATTCCTGGGTCAAATGGTATTTCTATTTTGAGCTTTTTGAGGAACCTCCATTCTGCTTTCCATGATGGTTGAACTAATTTACATTCTCAGCAGCAGTGTAGGAGGGTTCCCCTTTCTCCACAACCTCACCAACATTTGTTTGTCTTTTGGATGGTAACGATCCTTACTGGTGTGAGATGATATCTCATTGTGGTTTTAATTTGCATTTCTCTGATGACTAGCGATGTGGAGCATCTTTTTATGTGTCTATTGGCCATCTGAATTTCTTCTTTGGAAAACTGTTCAGCTCCTCTGCCCATTTTTTAATTGGATTATTTGCTTTTTGTTTGTTGAGGTGGGTGAGCTCTGTATATATTTTGAATGTCAACCCTTTATCGGATCTGTCATTTATGAATATATTCCCCCATATTGTAGGGTACCTTTTTGTTCTATTGAAGAACCCTACATTTTTGCCCATGATTCTCTTGTAATATTATGGGCTGCCATTTCATCTACTAAGTTACTGTCCATATTGCCTGTGGAAAGCTATCCTAAGAGATAAATAAAATGTGTTGAATAGCTCTTGTCTCACCAGTACACTTTTTTGCATAATGGCCAAGGTTCTGGTCTCAGTCTCAGGTCTGAGGACCTGGTGAATGTGGTCACTTTTCTCCATGAGAACAAACCATACTTTCAGCCAGACTCCTGCCCTGTTTCCAAGAGCCAAACATTTTTTTTTGGTATCCTTAATCTACAATTACATGGGGAACATTATGTTTACTAGACTCCCCCCTTCACCAAGTCTCTCCCACAAATCCCACTACAGTCACTGTCCATCAGTATAATAAGAATCTATAGAATCACTAATTGTCATCTCTGTGTTGTACAGCCCTCCCCTTGCCCCTCCCCCACATTATACATGCTAATCGTAATGCCCCTTTTCTTCTTCCCCACCCTTATCCTTCCCTTCCCTCCCATTCTCCCCAGGCTCTTTCCCTTTGGTAATTGTTAGTCCACTCTTGGGTTCTGTATTTATGCTGCTGTTTTGTTCCTTCAGTTTTTTTCTTGTTCTTATACTCCACATACAAGTGAAATCATTTGATAATTGTCTTTTTCCTCCTAAGAGCCAAACATTTTTAAGAGGTTAACTTTGATAAATAATTTATAACTCTTTGGTAGGTCTTTCAAGACTGTCCACAGACTTCCAAATTCCAGTGGCCCAGCGGGGAGAACAAGTGACAGTGAACGACGAGGCCAGGCCCTGGGGGATGGGGCGGGGCAGGCACGGTGACTGCAGAACACTTGTCCCCTGTCATGCCTTACGCAGAAGCAGACGTCTTACACACAACATCTATATATTTTCCCTTCTGACTGCTGCTCCATAGGACTTAATGTGCTGCGCCTCAGAGTTTCTTCCGGCTTCAGAGGGTTGGACGGAGTGTTACGAGAAAATCATTGTTTTCTCCATCTTTCCCTGACCAGGAATGTTGGTAGCGCCAGGAGATTCCTGTGCCCAAGGGCTTTCTGCCCCCCTCCTTCTGGCATTCCTGATGTCTGCCATCATCCATCACCACCATTCTGTTGTGGAACAACAGTAATAAAGCAGCTCAAGACAACTGTATTTGGAAGAAGGCATGTCAGATGCAGAAATCTACCAATACCCACCTTTATATATTTGTGTCTTGTGACCAGGAATGAAGATTTTCATGGATCACAAAACCTAGGTGGCCCCTTAGTAGATTTGATGACTCCCTAAGGGGTCCATATGCTGAGCAATGGACTCAGAAAGTCCACTTTTACAGTGACTACAATGGAGCATGTGGGGGGGACTAGTTAATAGGGGGAGTCTAGAACCATAATGTTCAAATAATTGTATATTAACAATACCAAAATTAAAAAAATAATAAAATAATAAACATAATTTTTAAAAACAGTCCACTTTAATTGTCTTGGTTAGTAGCCACGGCCCAGTCCTTACCTGCATGTCAAGGTTATGGTGGCTTTTGCTTTCCTTAGCTTGTGACATAATTGTAAATTCAGAGGAAATGCCTGATGTCAACAAGGATTTATGTTAATATTTATATTAATAGCATACTTCAGCGTGGTGTCTCAAGTTGTGAAATCATTCATAGATGTCGCCATAACTAATGGCTACTTTAGGATACATAGTGCCTTATTTTACAGGGATGTAAGATATTTATCTCTAATAAAAAAATACCTGATCTCACATTGTTTAAATTGCATAGCTCCCCTTTATTGATTTGTACTTGGGACTCCATCATGTATTACATTTTGAATTCTAAGTAACAATTTCAGAAACTAGTTACTCTGAGGTAAGCAGCCTGCTCCAGAGGATCGGCTGTACCACACGATGGACTTAGGGCTGCTGCCTTGGGCTGTTTTGGTTGTAAAGACAAAATGAGATGATCAGTTCCCTTGAACTTTTTACTTTAGGATAATACTCTTAAAATAAATGTCATTCCTGTCACACTTAGCCATCTGGGCTTCAGTGTTGGTGATTCTGAGTTACTTGAGCTTGTAAGTTCCTTTCTTTTCTTAACACAGCGAACTTGCCAGCATTGCCTGTGGGTACCACTGGTCATCACTAAGCCGCCACTTGGGAACCCCATCTCTGGGAACACTCAGTCCCTGTTTGAACTCGGACACACCAGATGGCCCTAGCAATCTCACTCTGTCCCTTTATGGACCAAACATAATGTCTTCACATCTTCCATCTCATAAAACACTCAACTCGCCTTATGTAAGTCTGTACTGGTTTCTCCCTGCCCAAGCCTATGGCCTTCTCTTCCTGTTGTCCCAGTGTGTCTCCTCTTCCCAGAACTGTCCCAGTCGGCTCCTCCTCTCGACATCCCAGCCTCCTGCTGGGTCCCTCCCACTCTGGGGTGGTATCTCAAGATACCCATCAGGCCACCTTTTCCTCAATCACTTCTGATTTCAGACTCTCCTCTTTTCATCAGTCCTGGTTGTGCATAAAGTTTCCTTGAAAATATGTATCTGTTCCTTCTTATTCACCTAACTACCATCTAGTAACTCAGTCTTCTTTTTCTCTGAAACCCCTGTGCTTCTCTGTACATTTTAAAAATCATTTATAATAGGTTTCTTCATAGTCTAAGAACTGGCATTAGATAATCCACTCTTCTGACACTTCTCTCTAAAAACTCTTAATATTCCTTATTGCCAAATTCGAGGATGTGATCTGAAGCTCGAGATGCTCTAGGAGCACAGAATAATAGCCTTTATTCCTTTCATGGGTTACTTTTAACAGTTATGGAACATCTGCCTCATAGATGTCTCTTGAGAAATCAGTAATAAATCAGAGAACATTGAGCAGTTCTTATCTCTAGATGGTTTGCTCAGGTCTTCCCATTTGGTCCTCAGTAAATGACATACCTGAAGCTTACAGCAGTTCAGTGACCTTCCTGAGGCTCCATGCAGGTTAAGGGCCAAGCTCACATTCAAATTCAGATCTTTCTGACTGTAGAAATCAAGTTTTTATTCTTTGTGTAAATACATGCACTCATGTGTGAAACGTTCCTTGCAATTAAAAAGCTCATAGTTTAGTATTAAATATTTAACATTTGGTGAGCACTTTGCAAAAATCCTGTCCTTACACATGTAGTCTTAGGTAAGATCCCCTCCAAAGGGAATGTGATATGAGTGCCACAGGGGTAAGGCTAGGTGTTAACGAGTAAACAGTGATACACTCAATAAAGAGTTGACATTTTGACTTGTCTGGATTATGTTACTGTGTGATTTAACTATTGCGAATCATGCATTAATGAGCAATATCACTGAATGGAACATCTACATGTTCAGAGCATAGTGGAGGGCCAGGGTCTACATGTTTATGACAGTCTATCACCATGCTCCTCCTGACAGGGATTCCTGCCACAGACACCACAGCAATCCCTGGATTGTGTGCAGTGGAACAGCCTTTAGTCAGAAGCCTCCTTTTCCATAGCAGATAGGGAATGCTGAGGCAAAATCAAAGCATAAGTAAACATGTTCAGTGTGAGGGTGAAGATCATGCCTAATGATCCTCTGCTGTTCTCTCAGTATTTGGGAAAAACTCCAATCCTGGTAGACAATAAATATTTGCTGTGGAGAACAACTTTCAAATTCTAGTAAGGACTGAGCAATATGCAGCTGGAATTGCTCTCAAATATCCTGCTGACCAAAAGCAGTTGTTGCCCTTGCAGCACGTGGCCCATGGTGCTTTTTACTTCACTTTGTATGTGCATTTTTAATGCACAGTGAATTTAAAGAGACATAGCCAAGTATTCCTTGTAAAATACAGTCAAAGGAATTAATCGAACAAATTAGTACCTTCTTCAAAGCAAAATAAATGTTTATTTAGAACTGTTACATACTTTATTTTTGATGTCATTTGTTTCTTAGAATGATATTTCAATTTTTGTTAGCATTTCAGAACATATATACACCTAATTTACTTTGTCTTCCAGATTATTTTTAATATACATGAATAACATGAAATTAATTTATTCAGTTTGGTTTCAGGAAGACACTATAGTCAAAGGAAAATACAATTTGCTGAATGATTTCGAAGTCTGAAATGAAAAAGACACACACATGTCCACAGGGGGTTTGGTCTGTGTACACACGTATGTGAACATATGTGAGACTGCATGCTGTTATATTTGTTGGGAGCTAGGGAGATGTCCTTATAGCAGAATTTGTTGTATACGGTCATTAGCCTCCAGTCCTCACTTAAGAGTGACAATCAGGTAGATGGTAGTGGACTGAACGTACCATGATTGGTTAAAGCCAACAAGTTACACTGTCATTGCACTTACACTAGTACTCCTCCTTTGTAAACTGAGTCTTTTCTGTCTCTGAAGAGAAAATGATAGACGATTCCTTTAGAAAAGGGTTTCCTGGTCTTATCACTATTGCCGTATTTAGTCAAACAGCTCCTTGTTGAGGGGCTGCCTGCTCCACTTAGACCACGGGTGTCACCCGGCCTGGACTGCTGAGTGCCTGCGTTGTGACAGTCAAAAATGCCTTGGATATTACCAAATGCTCCTCAGAGGACAACCTATCTGTTTGAGAACCACTGGGCCACTGCTAATGGTTGAAACACGGAACAGAGACTCTTCTCTCCAAAATTTCATGGCTGGTTTCCAGATCTCCAGTGGCGGCAGGGTGCAGCGGTCATTTTTGGGCCTCAGTATGTTGGTCAGTCTGAGCAGCTATCAGTTGATCTCTACCTGAAAACACCTTGTTCACTCAACTTCCCTTGATTTTCCTCGGCCTTCGTTGGTATCTCCTCTCAGATCCCTTTCCTGGTTCCTGCTCATTTTCTTGGCCTTTACACCAAAGTGGCACACAGCCTCAGTCCTGAGACCTCCTCCCTCTTCACACACTTCCTTGGTGATCTTACCCAGTCCCCTGACTTTTCAAAATCCTGTCCATGCTTCCCACACTGTATCTTCAGATATTATTATAGGTCTTACATGGCTAATGGCTCCACGGTTTCTCCACTGGCTTATGTGATAGGCATCTGGCCGTTAGTATTTCCACAGCAGAAGTACTGGTCTTTGCTCCCACCAATCTCTTCTCCCAGTAAATCCTGTCCTTTGATTTACTTAGAGAAAGAAAACCAGCAAGCCTGAAGTCATCCTTGACTCCACTCTTTAACACGCACATCCAGTCTATCATAAAGTCTGTTGCCTGTACCTTTAAAGAAAGCAAGCCAGAATCTACCAGTTTCTCTACTGTTCCACTCTGGCTATGTCATCATCTATCACTTGGATTAATTTAGTGTTGCACAAATTACTGCCATGCAGTCTTTTTCACAGCAGCAGTTTGAGTGAGGCTTTTAAACCTTAAAGGAGTGTCTGTCCACACTTTGCTCAGAACCCTGAAGTGGTTCCTGCCCCACTGGGATCCTTTACTAAGCCTGACAACTCCCTGTCATCTCCACCCCCCACCCCCAGGCACCTGTTCACCCCTGAGCTCTCCTCTCCTCAGGCTTGGGTTTGCCCGTCTCTGCTGTGGCTTCCTGTCCTCAAGCATGTGAGACATTGCTGCATCAGTTCCTTGCACCTGTGTTGCCCTTTCCCAGGATTGTTCATCCCTAGATGTCTGCGTGGCTATCTTCCTCACATTCCTTTCAATGAGACCATCCCTGACCTTCCTGCTTGACATCATGGCTTCTCACCTTTCCCTTATTTCTCTCCCCTACCTTCTTTTTTCTCACCATCATTTATCACTTATCACCATCTGACACTATGTACTGATTTTTTCTGTCCCTTCTTTGCATATCTCATGCACCTTTCTTATATCCAAAACCTAGAACATTTGTCTGGCCAGTAGTAGACTTTTAAATAATTGCAGAATGAGCAAAGAAAGGCATGTACACAACTCCACAGTTATTTTTTTTCTGTAAACATTAAGCATTTGGAATTCTTGGAAGATATTACTGCATAATTGCACAGAACTTATTTTCCTATATTTGGATAATCATACATTATAAGGCAAAGGGTATTTTTAGTCCAGTTGAATAGCTA